TATTGCCGTCGACCTCATCCATGCTTAGGATAGTGCCGAGCGTTGAGATGCCAATGGTTTCGTCCAATTCTATACAATCGGGCTTTAGTTTCAAACTTCCAATTACTATACAATTTCCGAGTGCTCTGGACTTCGTTCAGTCCATTAGACAAACAATAAATACAGGAAATTCTGGCGATTTTATCACATCTTTAGATTCCAACAGAACTCGAGTTACTTCGAGAGCAAACCTGTTCCGAGCCATTGAGAAAACGCACAATCGTTTGGGCAAAGTATGCCTTTTGAGAGCCATCTGCGAAGTGGCAGAAGTGCCCTTCATGTCCGCATCCCATGGTATCGTTGGACAGTTGGTCGATATGCTCTTAACGTAAGCCATACCACACATCACAAAATTCAATACACTTTCTTGTGTTAACAGCATTTCTTTGCCTTATGTATAGATCGTCGGTCTTAATGGACAGTACGGGTGTCTTAAAGACTTACAGAGAAGCCGAACGCATCGGAAGGGGCGGTGTTAAGGATAAATGCAAAACACATTACAAAAATTGTCCGTTTTCTTTGTTCAACATAATTGAGATCCCATTTAATATATAAAATGTCTTTTCATTACTTTTTGCATAATTTAATAAATAATTTATTTATTCAAAGATATCTTAATTAAGTTAGTGTTGAGTTTCGGTTTATATGTCATTAGTTTTGAATACCTGTCCAACAGTTGTTTCCAATAGCACTGAACCGAATCCATAGTCAAGTGATGCCAAATAAATTCAAAGCCCTTCTCAGCGATATTGCGTCCGATTTGATCGTTTGCTTTCAAGAACTCAATCTTCTCCTCCAAATCACTCATGTCTTTAGCGATGGGAACGAAATGAATCCACGGTTTGAGTTGAGGGTAGAAGAACTCAATCCAATCGGAGTCCACATTCAATACAACAGATTTGCAGAGAAACAGGTGTTTGTATCGGAAAGAAGCGGCGACTCCTCGCATATTAACCAAATATTTGTATAGACAGTGGTCTTGGAATGTGACGGTCGGCACCGGCTCTTTGCCCAACGTGTCTGCCACTGACCTCCACGCCTGGTTCGCCGTGTATTCAGCGGAGATCAGGTGCGGCAGCGCTCGACCCAACTTTATAAGCGGATCCCTATCGTGAGAGGTTCGCGAACCCCTGAAGAATGCGATCGACGACTTGTTACTCCAGTCGACCATATTCTTCGTAATCGACTCACGCATCAGATCCCAGCGTCCGATACCGCGCGGGTAGTGATCAATGGCGGGTCCGCCGCACCAGAAGGTCCACGCGGGGTATAACACATCCTTGTATTGGGTCACGTCTTTGGAGAAGGACAGCACCGGTAAGTCCGGCCATTTCTGGTGCACCTGCGGATAGTCGCGGACATTGACCACTAGATCCATGTCTGGCAACGAGTCGATGACATTGTTGATGAAGTACTCGACGCCTTCGCAACGCGAGGGAAACATACAATCGGTGTCGCGATATAACGAGTGGTCAATGATCTGGTAGTGAACGCCGCGTTTGTTGTCGACGGCCTCATCGATGGCACTCTTCGTAATCCCCGATCGCATCCATTCACTCATGTCGTGGTCCAAGAAATTGAGATAATGTCCGCACGACGTGTCGGACACTGTGTTTGTCTCCAGTGTTTCACTCATCGATTGTTTGGCTCTTTCGATGTCTTCGTAATATTTATGCCATTTTTGGCCAAAATTCTGGTTATTTTGTGCCAAATATTTGGATTTCTCGTGATATTCATCACCAATCGGTTCCTCCGTTAAGACATTTGTCGCTGAAATCACTTTATGTCTTATAAATACTATTTGTGTAAAAAGTAATACATTTTGTAATAAAATTAAATTTATATAAAACATGATTTAAATGTAAAATTAAATTAAAACTAAATATAAAAATAAGTTTTTCTCAACAAAAGTTTCAAAATAAACCAATTATTCAATAGTTGTGAACATAAATGACAACTCATTACTTGACATCCCTTTCATAGCATTGCGAACACAATTCAATGCAATTATTATAACAATAACACAACGTTTTATATGTATTAATATTCATGACATGTGTTTGAATGCAATGTTAATAAATTCACAAAATCTGTCCATAAATTACGTAAATATAATCAAAATATTGAGGGCTTTATAATACAAAAGTGCATTTGAGGGGACATTTGGGGGCACTTTGTTATAACATAAATATGGATGGATTGACGGACTTTTAATCCATTGGTTGAAAGCAAACAACAAACAAAACTCGTCGACTGATTAGTGAATGAATGATAATTAAAGTGAATTGTGTTTAAGAAGTGGTGAAGAAGTGCTGGTATGGAGAAAGAGCAGTACAGAGGCTGTAGTGTTGGCGTGAAGTTGAGTGAACTGGCGTTCAGTATTCCCAATGCAAGAGATGTGCGAAAACAAAGTCATATCCAATGCATAAACAAAATGCTTTACGACTCAAACGCCGGCAAAACCCGAAAGCCCGCCGTTTACGGCGTTTTGGACACCAGACTCGGTATTGTCTTATTGTCTTTATATCGTACATCTGATCCCAATGTCTAATACAAGTCTGTGTTATTGTTAAGGCACGAGTCAGAAGGACCTGAAGTGCGAGACGTGTGGCCACGGATTGGCCGAATGTGTGGGACATTTCGGTTACATAGACTTAGCGCTACCGGTGTTTCACGTCGGGTACTTCCGCTTCATTGTCTATACCCTGCAGTCCATCTGCAAGAGGTGTTCGCGAGTCCTTCTGCCCAACGAATTGCGGAATCGATTCATTTGGAAGTTTCGTAAACCAGACCTTAGTTTTCTGGAGAAGAAGGCCATCCATAAAGAGATTGTCGACAAATGCAAAAAAGTCAAGTCCTGTCCGTTTTGCGCGACATTCAACGGACCCGTTAAGAAGGTATCGCTTTATAAGATAATACACGCCATGACACCAACCACTTCATCCAAATCGGTCGCCGCCGAAGACCTGTTGATCGACAACTTTTCGGAAATTGCTTTCAATAACGAGGAGATCATTGAATTCATTAAGAAAACCAAATCAGAACTTTTGGATCCGATCCGTGTTTTGGATCTGTTTAAACAAATCCCTGACAAAGATCTTCCATTCCTAGTCATACGTAGTCACAGACCCGAAGACCTGATCCTAACCCGTGTTGCAGTGCCGCCCTCTTGTATCAGGCCGTCGGTGATCAACGAGTTGGAGACGGGAACCAATGAGGACGACCTGACCATCAAATTGAGTGAAGTTATATTTGTAAACGATATCATCGCTAAACGCAAGTCCAGCGGCGCTCACATGGGAATGATTGTCGAGGACTGGGATTTCCTTCAATTACAGTTAGCTCTCTATATAAACAGCGAAATCTCTGGCATTCCCTTCAATATGAGGCCAAAGAAGCCGAGCCGTGGGTTAGTGCAGCGCTTGAAGGGAAAACACGGCCGCTTTCGCGGCAATCTTAGCGGCAAACGAGTCGACTTTTCCTCCCGAAGTGTCATTAGTCCCGACCCTAACCTCCAGATCGATGAGGTGGGAGTTCCCGAACATATCGCCAAAATACTGACATATCCCGAACGCGTCACTCCCGCCAACATTGATCTCATGAGACAATTGGTTCTCAACGGCACTGATTCACATCCCGGCGCTAACTTCGTTGAGGACAAGGCGTCCGGTCTTAAGACGTATGAAGTTTTACTAAATAAATGCGGAAACAATTATATTTAATACGCTTTCCAATTGACATAGATTTCTGAAATACGGCAATCGAAAGGCAGTGGCGGCTAAACTGAAGAACGGAGATGTCGTCGAAAGGCATTTAAGCGATGGAGATATCGTTTTGTTCAACAGACAGCCATCTCTTCATAAGCTGAGTATAATGTGCCACAAAGTGAGTGAACATATCTGTCATTTAAACACAGTATAGACTAAACAATTATGTATCAACTCTTAGGCCAAAGTGCATAAACACCGGACCCTTCAGTTCAATGAATGCGTTTGTACGCCATATAACGCCGACTTCGACGGCGACGAAATGAATCTGCATTTACTGCAAACGGAAGAGGCGAAGGCCGAGGCGGCCATTCTTATGGGCACTAAAAACAATATTCTGACGCCAAGAAACGGAGAGCCACTGATCGCCGCCATTCAGGACTTCATAACCGGTGCTTATCTTTTGACGCAAAAAGACGTGTTTTTCGATCGCGCGAAAGCCATGCAAATAATCTCATCGATTATGGCTGGCGTTGACTCCAAGACAATGATAGAACTGCCGACGCCTTGTATTTTGGTTCCCTGTGCTCTCTGGAGTGGGAAACAAATATTTAGCTTAATTTTAAAGCCCAATAAGTCGAGTGAAGTGAATGTGAATCTCAGGACTAAAGGCAAGAATTATTGCGGAGTTGGCGAAGACTTGTGTGTTAACGACTCGTGTAAGTAATTTGAAAACTTATTTTGTGTTAAATTTAACTTATTTTTGATATTATTTCAGTTGTTGTCATCCGAAACAGTCAACTGCTATGCGGTTGTGTAGAAAAGGGTACTTTGGGTTCCGGTTCTAAGAATAATATTTTTTATTGTGTTTTACGTGAATATAATGGCGATTACGCGGGACTAGTGATGTGGCGATTGGCCAGAGTTGCCAGTTATTTCATTTGTATGGCTTTCAAACAATTGACTCGTTATGAGTGTAATACTAATTGCATATTATTTTCAGCTCAAAGAGGGTTTTCGTTAGGCATCGATGACGTGACGCCAACCAAAGGTCTTAAGGGAGCGAAGGCTACTCTGTTTGAAAAGGGCTACAAAAAAGTGGACGACTATATCGCGAAACTACGCGACGGAAAGTTAGAGTCAATGGCCGGACGAAGTCTTGAAGAGACACTGGAATCGCTTATTAATCAGGAATTATCTGAAATCCGAGACCACGCGGGAAAGGCGTGCGTCAAAGAATTGGGAAATAAAAACGCTCCGCTTTTAATGGCAATGTGTGGCTCCAAAGGATCGCTTATTAATGTGTCACAAATGGTCGCCTGTGTTGGCCAACAGACCATTAGAGGAGAGCGCGTTCCCGATGGCTTCGGTGACCGAACTTTACCTCATTTTGATCACAAGGAAAAGTCTCCGCTCGCGAAGGGATTCGTTGAGAACAGCTTCTATTCAGGACTGACGGCAACTGAGTTTTTCTTCCACACAATGGCCGGAAGGGAGGGTCTGTTGGACACAGCGGTCAAAACTGCCGAAACCGGTTATATGCAGAGGAGATTAGTTAAGGCACTCGAAGATCTGGTCTCTCATTACGACGGATCCGTACGAAACTCTTGCGGAGATGTGATTCAGTTTATTTATGGCGACGACTGTCTCGACCCGTCAAATATGGAAGAAAGCCATCGACTCATCAATTTAGACCGTCTTCTTCTACACACCTGTGCTATCAATATCTGTAAAGGAGAGCCGCCTCTCAGTTGCCATGAAATTAGAGAATTGTCTGCAAAACAGATGAACGGAATGAATGCTAATGTTTCCGACGATTTCAAAAAGGAATTGAAAGCATTTTTAGAGGATTTTATCGAGAAATTACAAAAATCTCAAAAACGTTTTGAGAAATATTGTGACAATAAATCTGTGAAAGAAGTCCATAGACTAACCGAAACACAACTCGAGAGGTTTCTGTTCGCCAGCGCTGACAAGTATTTGAGAGCCCGCATAGAGCCGGGAACAGCTGTCGGTGCCATCTGTGCGCAAAGCATTGGAGAACCGGCCACTCAAATGACACTCAAGACATTTCATTTCGCGGGCGTCGCCTCAATGAACATCACTCAAGGAGTTCCCAGAATTAAAGAATTAATTAATGCCAACAAAACGATATCGACTCCAGTTATTTGCGCTATTCTTCGCGACAATAGAGACGCCGAAAAGGCCAGAGCCGTCAAAATGCGGATCGAAAAGACAACTTTGGGTGAAGTGTGCGAATACTTAGAAGAAGTGGTGACCAGAGATGACTGCTTTGTTCTCATTAAACTAACCATGGACAGAATCAAATTGCTAAATGTATTACATATATAATCATTTGTAGATATTGTTTAACTAATTTCTAAACCATAATTAATTTCAATAGTTAGAAGTGGACGCCTATTCCATACAAGAATCCATTACAAAACAGTTGAGAATCTCTGCGAATAAGATATCTGTTGTGGACGACGAGGAGTCTATGATCAAAGTTTCGGCCGTCAATATCGATACGTGGACTCTGAGGGAGTCGTTGTGTAAAGTAATGATCAAAGGCATCGATAAAGTGAGACGAGCGGCCATTCGCGACAATAACGGCGAATACTATCTTATGATCGAAGGCGAGGGACTGCGGGATGTGATGGCCACGTATGGCGTCGATCCCAAGAAGACGTATTCTAATAACGTGATGGAAGTGTCGCACACTCTGGGCATCGAAGCCGCGAGAACTATGATTATCAAAGAGATTAAGGCAACGATGGAAAACCACGGCATCAGTATTGATGAGAGACACCTCAAACTATTGGCCGACACAATGACTTATAAGGGAGAGGTATTGGGAATCACTCGCTTCGGTCTCGCGAAGATGAAGGAGTCGTCTCTAATGTTGGCCTCGGTTTGTAACACATCTGACATTTATTTACAAACATTTAGTCATATAATTATAATTAATGTCTAGTTTGAGAGAACGGCCGACCATTTATTCGATGCGGCCTATTATGGACAGGTGGACCATATATTGGGTGTCTCGGAGTCCATCATATCGGGAATGCCTATGCGTTTGGGCAC